ATTTTCCTCCTCCTCCTCCATGCTCTTCTTCTCCTCCTTCAACATTTTCTCCTGCTGTTCTTTTTTCCTCCTCTTTTTCTTTCTCCTCCTCATGTTCCTCCATCTTCTCTTCTTCCACCTCCCTTTGCTCCTCCTCCTCTTCATCCTCCATCCACCTCCTTTTTCTTTCTCCTCCTTTCCCTCCACCTCCTCCTCCTAAACCCCTTGTTTTTACTCCTCTTTTTCTGTCTTTCCTCCCGTTCTTTGACTTCTTCCTCCTCTTTTTGCTCCTCCTGCTCCTTTTCTTCTTTTTCTTTCTCCTCCTCCTTTCCTCTACATACTCCTCCTCCTCTTCCTTCTTGTCTCCTCCTCCTTCCTTTCCTCCTCCTTCCTTACCTCCTCCACATCTACTTTGTTTTTCTGCTTCTTTTCATCCTTCTCCAAAACTTAGCCTTCTTCCTCCTCCTTTTTTTGCTCCTCCTGCTCCCTTTCTTCTTTTTTCATTCTCCTTCCTCCTCCTTTCTTCTGCATACTCCTCCTCCTCTTCCTGCTTATCTCCTCCTCCATCTTTTCTTTCTCCTCCTTCATGCTCCTCTTCCATCTTTTCCTCCTCCCTCGTTACCTCCTCCACGTCTTTTTCTGCTTCTTTTCATCCTCCTCCTTCTCCAAAACTTAGCCTTCCTCCTCCTGCTCCTCACCTTTCTCTACATCCTCCTCCTCCTCCAAAACCTCTCGTTCTTTCACCTGTTTCTTCCTCCTCCTCCTGTCTATGATTCTTCGTTTCCTCCTCATCACGTTTTTCTTTCTTTCCTCGCCTCCCCCTGCTCCTTCCTCCTCCTCTCTATAACTTTTACCAGAGACGTAGCTCCTTATGACGTCTTTATTTTCATCCTCCTTCAGTGAGGCGTCAGTTTTACCTGCTATAATCTCGTCTCCTCCTCCTGTTCCTCCTCCTGCTCCTCCTGCAGCCTCACCTGGCAGCCGACAACCTGGAGCTGATCAGGGACGACGACGGGAACAACCTGCTCCACATCTCGGCCTCCCAGGGCCACGCCGACTGCCTGCAGCACCTCACCTCCCTGATGGGGGAGGACGGCCTGAACGAACGCAACAGCCAGCAGCTCACGCCGGCCGGCCTCGGCGTCAAGGTCGGTGCCGCTGCTCACACTGGGTCACGTACAAATGTATAAAACGACGGCAAACACACACGAAACTACTCAAAACAGACGCAAAAAGAGCAGGAAGAGACAGAAAACGACCACATGATGCAAAATGGCTGCTAAAGGGATAAAAATAATCTGAAAAGAGCTGATAGAAGACACGTTAATGATGAAATAAGAGATTAAAACTGATTAAAAAAGACAGAAAAACAAAAGCAAAACAAACAGTGGAAGTTCCATGTCGTCCACCATGTGGTCGTTTAGTGAAAGAGGTTACGGGTCGTAAACATCTGGACAAGATGAGACGTAGACTGAAAGGATCTGGTGGGAAATTTAATGATCAGTGGCTGCTGTGTTTGAGAAACTTTATTAATTTGCATAAACTCTGCAGACAAATCACACAAGATGTGTAGCCGTGTTTTGTTTGATGTTTAACAAAAATAAATAAAAAGATGTCGATCAAAAAAGACAAACACTGAGCGCTACTAACAGCCGAAAACGATGTTATATATATATATACACACACACACACGGCTGAAACCAGAAGTTTGAGTGCCATTAAAGCACGTTTATATATATTATGTCATTTATATATATTTACGGTGCTTAAAAACTTAGACAGGTGGCCTCATGCATCTGTTAAATGCTGTAAATATGATGAATATTTTCTTGTTCGTTCCTTTTAAGCAGAAAACAACCAGGTTACAGTGATTTAATGTGCAGCAAACACCAGCCGTTTGTGGCTGTTTGTGATTAAAGGTGGAGGTGAGTTCAGTCGCCTCAGGTTGAGTAACGTCGTCTCTGCGTGACGGTGCAGCTGATTGTCTTTAGCGCTGACTAGCTAGCTGCCAGGCACGCTGTCACTGGTTTTATATTATTAGTACGCATTTAGCTAGATTCACACCATTAAAACCGGTATTAAGACGAAGTGATGCAACGTTTAGGAGTTTATTTTAGTTTCCAGCTGCCATCAGAGCTCTTGACAGCAGAATAATCACCTGGTGAGAAAATATAAATGTACTAATACACTGAAAACAACTGCCTGTTTTGCAGAGACTCTATGAACTCCTGAGAAAAATGTGTCGTGAGTAGTTTTAATGTCTGGCTTTATGTATTAATGCGTTGGACCAATGCTCGTCGGGTCACGTGACAGAATTAACTCGGTGTGCAGGAACTAGCAGCAGGAGAACCTGGCAGCAACCACACCTCTAGACAAACCTTTAAAGCCTTGGAGAACCCGACCGATGCAGCTTTATGTCATTTAAAACCTAACAAAGGTGTGAACAGACGTTTTTATGCAGCTTCAGTCGTACATTCACTGTGAATCCTGCTTCAGATTTCCTCCGTTTTTCTCTTGCCGATGGAAACATCAGCCCTGAAAGACAGAAACCAGACGAGGCAGCCGGTCGTCGAGGTCGTAGCGAGCTGAGATTGTTGATAAGACAATGTGGCAGCGGCAGCAGGAAGTCGGTCTGGTTCTGTGGAAACCAGGCTGCTGATTGGCCGCCAGACAGGAAGCGTGTTATCAGGAGACAAGCTGGGCAGCTGTGTGCCGACCCCTGATTGGCTCTTATCGACAGGACGCTTGTTTGGTGTCTCAGGTTAACGGGAGCTGCTGCTTCTCACTGAGACGTGTTGGGAGACTTTATGTTCTGCTCATAAATGTGTTTAGAGTCTCGTTTAGACGAAGCTCGTGGTTGTGGTTGGGAGGATATAAGCGGGTTTTACTTGATCTGTGGTGAAACCAAAGTGTGTTGTCGTTGCAGAACGGCCATCTGGAGTGTGTGCGGTGGATGGTGAGTGAAACCGAAGCCATAGCCGAGCTGAGCTGCACCAGAGAGCATCCCAGCCTGATCCACTACGCTGCCCGCTACGGACAGGTAACACGCCGACACCTGGACAACACCTGCACGGTCACACACTGTCAGCTCCTCATGAGGAAACTTACAGAGAAGGTTTACAGTCGTGGTTAGATCAGAAAAATGTCAGATTCTGCCCTCGCTGAGCATCGGTAAGTTTGGTGGTTCTTTAAATGAGACACAAAGATTTCCAGGTTTATTTCTCCAGTAGAACATTAAATCACATGCTGTCGGTCACAAAACATATTTTACTGTTTTATCCAGCTGGATTTAAAACCTTAATAACTCAAACAGAACTGTAACAAAACGTGGGAAATAAAAGGCACATGGTCCACTAGCATAATGCTAACATACAATGGAAATTGCCATAGACACGCTAATGGAAATTAGCACCAAATTTCAACAAGACAGTGTGAATGAGCTGCTTCACTTTGAGTGCTCAGAATACACTCAGATTTAAAGAGTGTGCTCAACTTTCATGCATATGATCCCTCTGCTTCTAAAATATTAGAAAATACGTTCAATACTTTGGATTTTGTTGCACAAATCGCTGAAGACTGACCTGAAATAAATGCTTAGTTTTTGCTGTTTTATTTCATAATTTAGTGGCCTGATGTTTGCTGATGTAACGGAGCTGATTTAGGACAAAAACATTCAGTTTAATATGTCGTGTGCAGTATTTCATCAGGTCATATTCTCATTTCTCAGGGGCAATAGTTTATTTACAGGTGCAAAATGTCACTTTTATGTACGATGTTGTCGACGTGATGTGGAATGTTTGTGTTTGATTTAACTTTTTAGCTCCAGTATAATCACCAGCTTTACTTTCTTGAGTCTTATTTTAGTTTAACCATTTTATTTCAGTATTGTATTGTACTTATATCTTATTCCTCTTCTGTCATTTAGTTTTTTCCTAAATAATATCTGGCACAAGAACGTCCTTCAGGATTATTTAGATTTTTTTTCAACCATGAATGTTGAAGGAAGCTCTTTAAAATGTGCGTCTCTTAACGGATCAGGCGTCTCCTCTGTTGGTTTCTGTGCAGGAGAAGGTTCTGCTGTGGCTGCTCCAGTTCATGCAGGAACAGGCCATTTCTCTGGACGAGGTCGACCAGAACGGAAACACGGCGGTTCACGTGGCAGCGCAGTACGGACACCTCACCTGTATACAGGTAACGCCCACCGCTGCTACAGTCGTTCACTGCAGCTCAGCGTTCAGTAGAACCTGCAGAACTGAGGCAGCAGAACATCAAACTGGGTCGAGTACATTCAAGGAGCTTCCTCGCAGCAACAGCAGCAACTTTCTCTGAAGGTGGGACTCGATGCAAACAGAAGTATAGCCAGCTCTTAGACACACAAAGAAGAACGAGCTACAAAAAACAATAAAAAAATAGCTGATAAAAGACAGAAGACAAGACAAAAAGAGATAAAAACTGATGAAAACAGACACAAAACGAACACAAACAGGCGCAAAAAGCAATAAAACAACAGAAAAGATGCACAAACTTAACAGAAACAGTGAGCTACAAAACAGCAAAAGAGAGCGAAACGACTACAAAGACACACAAAGAGACACAAAATGATCACAGAAAGTTAGAACCAAACACAGAAACAATAAAAATGAGACGACGAATAAACTCAGAATGACCAGAGAGAGATAAAAACTGATGAAAAGAGACACGAAACGAACACAAACAGACGCAAAAGGCAACAACACAACAGCAAAGATGCACAAAATGACTCAAAACAAACACTAAGAGTTCCTAAACAGCGACATAAAGAGCAGAAAGAGACAGAATCAGTCGACTCCAGACTCACTGATGTCCAGGAAGTCGGCGGCGTTTCTGCTTTTTGTTCAAAACGTCGAGTGTAAACTTTCTGGCAGCTCAACAACCAACATGCAGGTTATTCAAAAACAGCAGCTGACTTTCTGTGTTTCGTTCCTCAGTTGTTCCTCTGATGCATCAACAGTTTATTTATTAATCAGATGAATCAGTGCAGCTGCTGCGGTCCCTGTATGTTCTGTTTGTTCAGTAGAAAGAAGAAAAAGATGCAAAATCACCTAAAATGATAATAATATGTACAAACACCAAGAAGAAGAAAATCGCCACAATAAGTTAAAAGAATCTCTAAAACAATATGTGAGAACACCAAAAAAAGAAGCAAAATCCCCAGAAGAAGAGGTGAAATCACCAGAAATGATTGAAAGCAACACAAGAAGAGGCAAAATGCACAAACACTAAAAAAGATGCAAAGAAGAAATCATGACAATAGGACTTCAAAATGCAAAAAAATCCCCCCAAAAGTAAAAAAGAATGTGCATAAAAATAGTGATGACAAAAAAGATGCAAAATCCCCAGAAAAAGAGATGAAATCACAAAAAAAATATTTGCAAACACCAAAAAGAGAGAAAATCTACACAAAAACATCACAAGATCATCACAAAGTTGTGTTTATTTCAGTATGAAACAGAAAAGGATGTAAAATCCTCATAAAAAAAGATGCAAAAGCACAAAAATAAGATGCACAAACACCCCAATGAGAATTTAAATCACCAAAAAATCCCAAAAAGTCCAAAAAATAGCGAGAACAACAAAAAAGAGGCAAAATCAGTCACAAGATCAACAAAAAAAATTATTCCCAAACACCAAGAAGAGACAAAATCTACACAAAAAAGATCTCCAGATCACCACAAAGTTCTGTTTATTTCAGTCGAAAGAAGAAAATGATTCAAAGTCCCCATAAAAAGATGCAAAATCAACAAAAAATAAGAAGCACAAACACCCCAATAAGACGTTAAATCACCAAAAAATCCCCTAAAAGTAAAACGAATGTCCAAACAATTGTGGGAAAAAGCTAAAAATGTGCAAAATCACAAAAAATTAAACACCAAAAAAGATGCAAAAAGAAATCTCCACAATAAGACTTCGAAATGCAAAAAAATCCTCCCAAAAGTTAAAAAAAAGTTTTTAAAAAAATAGCGAGAACAACAAAAAAAGATGCAAAATCTCCACAAAAAGACAATCAACAAGATAATATTCCCAAACACCAAGAACATCCCCAGATCACCACAGAAACAGACGTCACCAGTCGATACCGTTTTATTTTCAGAAACCAGATGAGTCTGTCAGCTGCTCCCTGGATGTTCTGATCCGGTCAGGAGGTTTAATTTGCTGCTGAGTCCAGTGTTTGGTTCTGTTTCTCCATTAAAACCCTGACTGACTCCAGTAATCAGGCTTTTCTCCGTGAGGCTGGTTTCCTGCTCGGATGTTGTCGCTCTCGTCTGCTTCCTGACCGACTGACCCGCTGTGTTTAATCTGATGTCTGTGGTCCAGACCCTGGTGGAGTACGGCTCCAACGTGACGGTGCAGAACCAGCAGGCCGAGCGTCCGTCCCAGAGCGCCGAGCGCCAGGGCCACACCACCTGCGCCCGCTACCTGGTCGTCGTGGAGACCTGCATGTCGCTGGCGTCGCAGGTCGTCAAGCTCACCAAACAGCTCAACGAGTGAGTCGCACGACTCGGTCACGTCACAGTCACCTAGTTTTTGATAAAACCTGAGAATTTTCCAGCCAGTTGTGGCTCCATCGCTGCACAAGTCATAAAATCCAAACAAACCAAAGAAAAGCTCGTCTAATGACTCCGTTAATGAATGAAGAATGAATAAAACTCTACAGACTCAATCCAAAACCAGACAAAACAACATTACCGTAATGTCTGGACTATACTTTTTTCACACTCTTTGAACACTGCGGCTTCAGAAAAAGCATTTACGTGTTTCTGTACGTTACCACGACGTATTTAATTAAAAGTTAAAACGTCTTTCTGTGTAAATATCTCATGTTCCAACACCTGCAGCTCATATTCAGGTGCTCAATAGTCCAGAATTTACGGTAACTGATTAAACAAAAGGAATTCCCACTGGACTGAGTTGGATCATTTACGGCACCAGAACCAAATGTACTAATAGACACACTGCAGCAGTGTTTGGTAAAAGATTATAAAGTCTTATATGTGTGTATAAATGTGTATAAATGTGTGTGTTTGTTTTGCAGACAGGCAGCAGAGAGGATGACTCTGCAGAAACAGATGCAGAGACTGATGGACCCCAACAAGGCCGAGGGAACCCCCAACAGGTCGCCAAGGTAACGGTTGTTTTTAATCAGACTAAAGGTTTCCTGTTTCAGCTCAGTCAGGATCACCAACATTATCTCTATTTGCTAAACGCCAGAATAATGAGAGTCAGAGGTTTACATCCACTAAGATCCTCCAGACTATCTGGGAAAGCCCAGGTGATGATGTCATGGCTTTGGAAGCTTCTGATTGGTTCATGTGAGCTAATTGTAGGCACACCTGTAACACGCTGCTTCCTCTGGAGGAAAACATGCAGTATTTCACATTTTCAGTCTTATTTCAGTTTAATTTGCAGATATTTCATTTGCATGTGAAGTATTTGTAGATCAAACAGACGACATCATTATTAATTAATGTTTCGTCATCCTGTGTGACACTTTTACTGCTTTATTCTTATTTTACCTTAATTATCGTATTTCAGTGATTTTCTACTGTTTATGCTGCATTTCTCATGTTTTGCCTTTTTTTTCTGAGTGATATCTGCTGAGACTTTCCTTCAGGATTCATAAAGTCGACTTTCTTGTCAGTTCTGGTAAATGTGAAGAAAATAGACGGAATTAATGTCGTATCTCCCCAAACTAAAAAGATAAAGACGCTACGAAACCAGCAGCGCAGTGGTGTGGTACTGGTTTTACTTTAGTTTATGTAGTATTTCAATGCAGCCACATGCTTCTTGTTCTATGATTAGAGGTAGTGATGGTATAATTATTGGTTAATTAGTTCATCATCATCACATTTAGAACATAAAGACCGACTGTGTCTCCTGCAGCTCCCACCAGCCCTCGGTGGAGGCGTGGCCGGAGATGATGCTGACGGCGGAGGGGACTCCCGGCGACGGCCACTGGCTGGTCCGGCAGGGCGGCGTCGGTCCGGACTCGGTTCTGAGGCAGCTGCTGGGGAAGGACGCGTCGGAGCCGCTGTGCCCCAGAGAGAGGCTCCCTCCGGCGGGCAGCCTGAGCCGGGACGGCCCCCCCGGAGGCCGGAGGACGGGGCTGGTGGAGCGGCGGGAGCTGAAGCTGGCCCGGCTCAAGCAGATCATGCAGCGCTCGCTCAGCGAGTCCGACTCGGACGGGTACCCGCCCGAGGAAGGTAAGAGCCACGGAGCCCCGCCCCCTGGCGGCACACTGCGACCCGATAGGCCGTCCAACCTGCCGATCGCGGAGGAGGAGCCGGCGTCCAACCACCTGCAGCTGATGATGAGGAAGCACCTCCCCTCCTCCGCCTCCGCCTCCACGGCCGACAGGAAGCTGGCCTTCTCGCTCAGCGGGTCCAAGTCGGTGGACAGCGTCGGCTACAACCCGTCGCCCACCTCCAGCGACCCCGAGGCCGCCGACGGGAAGACGCCGGACGCCGCCGACCCCCACGACGCCGCCAACGGCCAGAAGGTGGCGACGAGCCCCAAGAGCGCCCTGAAGTCGCCGTCGTCTCGCAGGAAGACGTCCCAGAACCTGAAGCTGAGGGTCACCTTCGACGAGCAGGTCCACAAGAGCTCCAACCAGGAGGCGGAGCCGAGCAGAGCGCCGGCCAAGGAAAGGACTCCGACAGGAAGCTCCGAGGGCAAGAGGTTCGGCACGTTCCGCTCCATCATGGAGACGCTGAGCGGCAACTCGAACCACAACAACAACAGCAGCAGCCAGGCGGCCGCCAAGCCGTCCGGCTGCCAGAACTCACCCGGCAGGAAGTCGGACAGCAAGAGCAGCCCAGGGGGCGGAGCCAAGGGCAGCCCGGGGGGTGGGGCCAAAGGCAGCCCGGGGGGCGGGGCCAAGGGCAAGAGCAGAACCAGTAACGTTTAAGTGCCTCCTGACGGCAGCGAGCAGGAAACGGCTGAACGCACAAGAAGACGGAGTTTACTGAAGATGAAGCATCTCTACAGGAAGTGAAGGTTTTTGTCCTCGACTTGGTTTCTCTGTTTACATCGACTTCCTCCTTCCTCTGGGTTCCGTCTGACCCACATTCACACGTTAACGGACGCTGATCGCTCCGTGTTTACTGAACATAACCGTGTTCTGACCATTAGACGGTAAACTAGTCCGTTAAACAGTTAATTTACTGCCAGAGAAAAACCATGAAGAGCTTCATGATCGTCATTCCAGAATCTAAATCCCAGTTTCAGCTCAGCGATGACGTTTCTGAGCTCAAGAGTTCTAGATGATCTGAACTCGAGGTCGACTTCCTGTCTGCTACTGGAGCTTTGAGCCGAAGCGAATAAATAAAACAACTCGATCTAAATGACCACCAAACACTCCTCAGAGTTCATTTTCATCTGCTCGTTCTCTGTTAAATCGATGACAACAAACGCTCACACTAGTTCTAGATGCTCTCAGTACGTCTTTGTGTTTATTTTGCGTCTGTTTTTTATTGTTTCGAGTCACTTCCTGTTTCTGTTTGTGTCGCTTCTCGTCAGTTTTAATCTCTTTCTGCTCGTTTTGTGTCGTTCGGCTCCAGAAAACCACAAGAAGTCGACCTCGGGTTCGGATCAGAACTCATTCCAGACGTACGGCGGGAACGTTTCTCGCTGTTTGTTCGTCGAGGTTTCGTTTATTCTCGCTGATCGTTTGACTTTTGTTGGTCTTTACAGCCTGAAACACAAACACAGGAGCAGAGAAACTGAAGGATTTCATTTTATTCTTTGTTCTTCTCACCTTTCATCAAACTTGTCTTGTTTTATTTTTACTGTTTTCTCTCGTTTCATTGGTACAGAACACGTTCTGGTCGTTTCTCTGCCGCTGAAGATGAACTTTACTATTATTATTATTATTATTATTATTATTTATGCACACGCTTCTTTGGTTTAACGTTTCAATGAAATGTGGTTATAATCCTGCACATGTGCTGCGGCACAACCATACTTTACAACCACTGTATATATATATATGTGTATAAATATATATATGGATAGTATTTAAGTTGTTTTTTTACTTTATACTCCAACACGTTTCTCTGCTGGTTTCTATCTCCACTGTTATCATCTATGCAGCGTTTTGAAGTCGACGTAAACTCTTCCAACAAACAAACCGACTCGGAGCTCCAGAACCAGAAGCTCCGACCCGACGCTCGGGTTTCAGGAAAACGAGCCCAAAGCGACGAAACGGGAAGTTTTTGGAGCATAAATGCTTCAGAAGTTCGTGTTAAGATGTAAACTGGGTCATTCCCGTCACAGAAATGTTGATAAAGACAGAAATCCAGAACATTTAGACGTTTCTCAACAAACTCTTTGGTTTTTACATCGTCCCAGAAAGTTAAATGTTCCTTCAGCAGCACTTTGAAGATCTTAAAATACCAGAAATTTATAGATAAATAAATATTAATATTCAAACTACAGTGAAAATAAATGAACTCCAAGTGATATGAAGACCAGATTTGTCCCCTGATTGTCCATCAAACACGACTTTAGAGGTTTTTTTATATCAGCGTTTGTCTTTCTGAGGAAATCTCTGGTTCTGTCCACTGGGTTCCAGGATTTAAACCTTAATTGACCTTAACGAGGTTTTAAAGTAGTTTCTCTGTTTAAACACTCAACGATTGTTGTAAAAAAAAAATTAAAAATCAATTTACATTTTACAATTTATTGCACTTTTTCAGATTTTTCCTGTTTTGTTAAATTACTGATCAAATATAAATTCACAGAAAAATAAAACCAACACAAGCAAAAACTGTAAATAACGAAAAAAAAAAAGTTTTTGTTTGTTTTTCTACATTTGCCTGTAAAATTACATTTTAACTCTTTAAATCATTTTTTAAAATGAAATTTTGCAGGTATTTCCTGTTACTGGAAAGAAAACTGATGAAGACCTGAAAAATCTTTAATTTACACATTTTCTCTGTTGTTTTGATGAAGTAAAAAATAAAAAAATAAAAGTATGAATGTACGTGTTGAACTACAAAAACATGAACCGAAACAACAGTTAGGTGGAAATAATATGAGCGCATCTGTTTAAAATGCAAAAAAAAACAAAAAAACACATTTATGACGCAAAACAACCACGAAAAAATGCTAAATGTTCAAAATGTGACACAAAAGAACCGATTTATGAGTTAATTACCACAAAAATATGTGAAAAGGTCAAAATGTGACGCAGAGCAACTACAAAAAGACGTGAAACAAACAAAAGGTGAAGCAAAATGACCAAAAAAGATGTAAAATGAACAAAACGTGATGCAAAAAGACATAAAAATGAGCAAAATGCCCAACAACAAATAAAACAGACATGGACACAAAACACCCATAAAAAGACACAAAACAACCAAAACGTGACATAAAATGACCTGAAACATCTTTAATTAACACATTTTCTCCGTTTTGTTTTGATAAGCGGTGAAGTCGGAGAATAAACGAATGAATTTACGTGTTAAACGACAAAAACATGAAGAAAAACAACAGTTAGCTGGAAATAATGTAAACGACACAGAAACAGCAGAAAGTTTAAACGTCTCAAACCCGACTGTGAACCAGGAATAGATCAAACTAGTTGATTAATTCACTAAACTGAGCTGAGGTTCTTCTGTGTGCAGCTGAAAAACAGTTTTCTGTAACTTTCACACACTGAAGCCTGGACAGCGCCTCCTGGAGGCTGCACGCTGTATTACAGGCTGTTTCTTATTTAGTTTTTTAACAATCTCGGACACGAAACACGTCGTGTTAGAAGGAAAGCCGGACGGTAAATCTTTGGATTCGTAGACGTTTGTTGCCACTTTATGGTTCTCACCTCTGTGACGAGTTTAGCCTGAAGTTTAGTCGCCTCTCACTTCCTGTTTTATTGTGAAAAACGCTCGGATCGCAGCCTCGGCTCTGGTTTTCAGAAGCTTTGGGAGAAACTGGATCGTTACGTTTGTGATGCTCGTTCATGTTCATCCAGTTTACGTCTTTTTGTTTTTCGTTTTTTTTTACCGTTGTTGAAGGTTTACCGGCTGCTGGTGACGTCGTTCAGGACAAACTCTGTCTCACGTTTTCTGTCGTCTGGTTAAAAACACGACTTAAATCAACGTCTGGACTCGACTCGGACGGTCCAGATCGACTCCACATCCAGTAAAAACCCAACTCGTCACCAACAGCTGGTGGTTCATTTACAGATCTGTTGTTATTCTCATGAAAGAATCGTGTGATTTGGTGCCGAACATGATGAAACTAAAACCCGTGGCTCTGATGGAACGCTGCCACGTTTGTTTACAGCAGCTCAGTAATTGAGGATGTTTGATTATAAATTAAAGCCAGAACAGTGTTTTCACTGTTTAGCACCAAACTGCGCCGGTTCTTTCCAATAGTTTCTGGGTGGATTAGCAGCAAACTGCCGATCTGTAGGACAGCGTGTTGCCTGAAGTTGCCGGTCGTGTTGCTCGTTGCCAAACAATCAGTGTTTTTGTGTCGATGAGACGGTTTGTGAAGAGTTTCATCGTCGAAGGACTCGGACCGGACGGACGTTTACCCACAATGCAAAAAACCAACAACAAACTGTAAGATGACTGTAAAATAAATGTTTTCTACGAACCAGACAGACGTCCTTCTGCTGTCTGAACTGTTGTGAAGGCTGAAGACAAACTGAAATAAACTTTATTTCTGGACTTCCAGGAGGCGTCGGGTCCAATTTGTTCAGTCGCAAAAAAA